GGAAATTTCATTTAAGAAACAATTAACAACTTAAATTTTTTTTAAAAAAAAACATTTAAAAATCATATGTAGGATGCATGATTTAAGCAGAAAAGAAATGTAATACCAGATATTATAACTAATCATATAAAAAATATATGAAATGCAAAAAGTTACATTTATAATCAGAAATTCTTGTAATGTTTTTTGACCTGTTGGGTAATATGCTAAAATAGTGCCTGTTTGTGTTTACTTTCCTGAGTATAGTATAATGTTTTGTGATGTTTTTTCATTATATTAATAATATTAGAGAGTTGGCTATTGTTAATATCTAGCTAAATAAGAGGTGTAATAGGTATGTTGATAAGTGATTAAATTGTTTATATTGTTTGGTTTAAATTATTTAGTAGTGTAGTATTAGTTTTATTATTATTATTGATATTAGAGTGAAAGTTGACAAGAATATGAACTATACTATTATAGATATTTAGTGATATATAAGCTTTTAAGGCAGTATATAAAAAGTTATGAAATTGTTTTTGTGAAAAGAAGGTAAAGAGTATATGTGTGTTGGCTGCAATAAGTACTGCATATTAAATCTGATGCCAAAGTTGATTGATAGTTTGTATAGATGTTGTTATTTCTTTAATTGAAAATAATAATTAATAACTTGTTTGTTTAAATTTTTTCTAAAGTTTATTTGTAATATTATCATATTTGAATATCTTATATTTGTATGTTTTATATCATTTGGTTGGTTTGGTATGCATCTGAAGGTTAGTATAAATAATGTAATGGTCACTGTCAGTAATGTAGTTATATAAGTAATAGTATGTATTGTAAATATGTATAGAATTTGTTATAGAACCCAGATTTCATCAATTTGACCAGAAAGCTTATTATATTGCAGGTCAGAATATTTGAATAATAAGTATGTATTAGTAAAGTTATATGATATAAAATATTTGTATAATATAAAATGTTGTAGTCTATTAAGAAATTAATTAAAGTCTTATATAATTACTAATAAAATTTGAGTTTTTGTGCTTGTGTAATCCAAAGGATAATTTGGTTTTGTGTTTGTTCATTAGTATTAGAATTATTAGATAGATAGATGAAAATAATACAAAAATTGGTTTTATGTAGTAGATAAAGGTCAATTACTATAGCAGTGCTTTGAAGAGTTTAAATATTATAAATATAGATTGTAAATAATTAGTTTATAAAGATTATTGTTTCTACACTTGATTTTCTTGAATGTTAAGAATTGGTAATATTGTTGTTTGATATAAAGTATTTGTAATTATTATTATAAAGTGTGTTAGTTTTGTTTTAGTAAATAATATAATATTAAACTGTTGGCTACTGCAATAGTCTAGCTATAATTGTCTTTTGGTAATATTATTGTATCTTTAAATATTATATGTTGTAATAGTTAGATATTAGTATATGAGTTTGTTATTAGATTCAATAGTATTATTTATTAATATAAAGTTAAAAGATGTTTATTGTTACTGTATTAATTGTAAGTGGCTCATTTGGTATTATAGTAGAAGTGTTTAACATTTCTTATGTTGATGTAGTTAATGATGATAAGTGAGTAAAAGTTTAAAATTGTGATAATTGTTGGTGTTATCTGTAATTGTAAGATTATTAGAAGAGTAAAAGTATATTATTCTGGATTAATGCAAAGTTAATATCTTCTATATTGTTAGATATAAATAGGAGGGCTTGTGTGGTTTAGTAGATTTATTACTATTAGCATTGTCTTCTTGCTCTGCAGTTTGAACAAGAAGATTTGTAATATTAATTTATAGTGATGGTAGTTGTTTAAAATAAAAGTGTTGTTAAAGTGTTTTTACAATTTGAGTAAATTGTTAAGGTGCTGTAATAGGTAGTGTAATGTTGAGTTTAGCATGCTTTTGGCTGTCTGTTAATAGATTAGGTTTGTTTGTAGAATTTGCTTATATTATATAATTAGATATTGGAAATTGAATATGGTATCATTGAGAGACTTCTCTAAAAAATTCTTTTGCTATTACATTATTAGTTATTGAATAGATGTACTGTAAGTTAGTGCAAATAAGATCTGAGTTGTTAAACCAAATTGGTTTGGTAATAAAGTAATTACTAGTAAGTAATTTAAATATGTAATATTCTTTTAGCTATGCAACTGTTTTAGATAATAGTATTTTGAATATAAATGAGTTAAATAAGAAAAAACCTCTAACTTTGTAGTTAAGTTTCTAATATATAGTAAATAATGATTGTTTTGGTATTAAAAATTAAAAGTATGAATTTGAAATTACAGTAAAAATGTAATAATCAGCAAATTTGCATCAAAAATATGAAAGATATTGCAATAATTGCTTGCTTGTGATTGAAAAATAAGTTTTTAATTCTGAAAAGAATTATTGATATCTTTTTAATAGTGTTAAAAGTTTTGCAAAATAGTTGTTTGTGAGTTTATTAAACTTAAAGATTTTTTTTTGTATATTAATAGTGATCTTTGTATATGATCTTTGTGTAATTGAAAGTGTAAAGAGTAAAATTTTTTGAATGTGTCCAGAAATTTTATTAGGGTTTGCTAGTAAAGGTATAAGCTTTTCTTAAAGTACACTGTTAATTGTAACTTGAATGAATATAAATATTTGTTTATTCTTATTTTGGATTTATAAAAAACCTTTTACATAGTAGATAGTCCTATAAATTATAAAGAAGATATAGTTGGTAAAGTTGGTATTTGAAAGATATTACAATATAAGCATTTGTTTGAGCATAATATTTATGATTTTGTGAGTAGTTGCATCTGTAATTGTAATTTGGATAGTTTATTTATAAGTGACTAAAGCATTTTTATATAGATTAGTATGTATTAGAGTAATATTTAGATTTTTTGTAAAAGTGATAAAGAAACTGGTATTAAGATATTTGAATTTAAAAAATATAGTAGGTGGGATTGTAAATTGAGTTAGTATAATAATAAGTTTGTGATTAATAAAGTTACAGATTTTAATTAATATTAGAAGTGTCTTAGCTATTGCTTTATAAGTTCAGATTTATTGGTCAAATAGTTTATTAATTTTATTAGTAACTTTGGTATACAAAATATATTTACTTATTCAGAATTATTAATGTAATAAAATTGAAATATATTGAGTTGCTTTTATGTAATTTGACTGTAAGTTGGCTTAGTATTATTTTGTATATTTGATATTATAATCATAGATGTTGGTAATAATATAGTAATATTATTAGAAGATTTTGAATTAGATAATCCTTTTGTATTAAACAGTTGTAGTTTGGACTATTTTTTGCTTTAGTATTGATCAGTTGTTGATAGTATTACTTTAACTGATAATTTGCTAATTTCTGCAGTTATATATTGTAAAAAGAAGAAGTATTTATTTCTTCTAGTATGGGTCTTGTGTTCAGCCTAAATGGTACTGTTTAGTGTTTCTATATAGACTGAGTTTGTGTATTATTTATTGTTGTATCTGTAATAAGGTCAAATATTAATTCATTTTCTTGTGTAAGGTTACTTGTTTGTAATAGGTCTTTATTTGTATCTAGTTCTGTAATCATATTGTAAGGTATTTCTAAACAGCCTTTACTGTATTTAGGTATCATATATACCTTTTGTGTTTTTTTGTATAACTAAATAATTAGGCTAAAGTTACAACTTAGTGTGTTTTTGAAAAATTTGACACTGATGTTTACAGAATTGTTTTTAGTAATTATAAAATTAAAAAATATTAATTAGGAAGTTTTCTTGTACTTATATAACTATTGTGTTAAAAAGATAATAAAGTTAAAGACATAATCAGATTTGATAAGATCAACTGAAAGAGGTATTTGTTAGTAAAATTAGAAACAAGAAAATTAACTGTAAAGATGAATTTAACTAGATCTTTTATATTAATACTAATAAACTCTTTTATATATTTATTAGAAGAATTGGTAATTGAGATTGTGAGTAAAGAATTCTTTAAAATAATAGGTTTACTTGTGAAATAAACTAAAGTAAAGAGAAAAAAATGATTTGAAAGATTGTTTGGTTTGGAATTTATAAAGGGTTGGTTTGTAAATTTTCTACTGTTTTTTAGTATTTTTTAGAGCTAACATTTTGTGTTTATATGTTGAGTTAGTAAAAATGTAAAGGTCCTTAAAACTGTTTTTACTAAAATGCAAGTTATTTTTGCAGTACTGTTTTTGATTTTTTTTTCTATTTAGAGTTGCTAATAAGAGGTTTTTTTGATATTGATACTTTTTTTAGTTCAAGTTCAATATATAAAACAAGTTTAATTAAAGGCCCAAAATTAGTTTACTTAGTAGTTATTGTTGTATTCTTGCTAGAAAATATTTTGTTTTTTATTTAGTTTTGGTAAAATAATCTACAAAGAGAGTTCTTCAAATAGTAAATTTATTAAAATAATAAGCTTGTTAATAAAATAATATAGCATTCATTATTGTAAGATCAAATGACTTTGCAAATTATATATATTGTTTTAGTTGTAACCTTTTATAATTATGTTTATTACAGTATTTGTTTCTTGTTAAATATAGTTATTATAAATAAATTCATAATAGGTATTTCTTAATTAATTATACTAATTGTTTTTTTAAAATAACAAATAACTGGTAGTAAAAAGAGTTTATTATTTAATGATTATGATTATGCATATAAATAGTATATTAGTATTATGATTACATATGTAAATATCAAATAAAAGAGGTAATAGGTGTATTTAATTAGGCTAAAGGCTATTTAAAAATTATTTTTTTAGATAAAAGTTGGTTATTCTTCTGTTTACTATCACTTATCTTAGTAAAAACTGCTCTATTGATATTGAGCTTTATATATATAGAATTGTAAAAGACATTAAGATATTAAGATACTTATTTAATAAACTATATAATAAACTATATAATTAACTTCATAATTATTTTTACTTATATAATGTCTGTCATGAGTTGAACCAAGCTAATCTTGAATGAGCTTAAAGATCTATATGTGACATATGGTCTATTTACAAGAAGAAACAAAAAAGAGTTAAATAAAAGACTGCATGCATATTTTGAAAAAAGAAGAAAAAAACTATTTGAAATATTAGAAGGCTTTAGTAAAACTTGCTATAAGAAAATAAGTGAACTTAGTAAAAGGTTTATTGAAAAGAAAAGAAATAGTAATGTGGAAGGTGATGTGTTAGATGCAGCTTCTCAAAAAGCAGATGGTGAAATTAGAAATAAATTTGCAAACCATTTTTATAAAAAAGAGAAAATCAAGTTAATTCTAGTTAATGTTTTCTGTTTGCATTAGAGAATATAAAAAAAAAAGATGAACAAATGTTTTTCTGTTCTTTATAGAGAGATAGAGAAAAAGAGTTGTCAAATAAGACATGGTCTAAGATAAAATTATCAAAGACATGAGATTAGCATAAGTATAATTTCTTGACCAAATTAGATATATAGTTAAACAAAGCAGTAAAAAAGTTACCTGTTTCTCTTAAAAAAAAATTTATTATAATTCAGAATAATATAAAGACCTATGCAGTAATGCTTAAATTGACTGATAATAGAAGTTAGAGTGCTGTCTTGCAAATAGTCAGAGATAATAATAAAATAATAAAAAAATATAAGAAACATATTCTGTAGTTAGTTATGTTAATGCTATATCTTGGATTAGTATTAGTAATTATTATAACAAATTTTATAGTGATTAGTACAAAAGAAAAAGATATTTTTTAACAACATTAGATTCTGAGAGAGAAAATTTATATAGAAGAAGTAGAAAAAAAGATAATATGTTTTTTTTCTTTTAAAAAAAAAAAAAGGTAGGTTTGCAAATTGTCAAAAAGCAATCACTTGCTTTAATTATAAAGATATCAGATATATTGCTTCAAGCTGCCTGCTCTTAAATAACAAGCCTAGCACAAAGCTCAGAAATAAAGACTGACTACACTTGAACCATACATGTAGAAGGTTAAAAATTGAAAGTAAACACTTCAGAATTAAGAAATCAGATTTCAGTTATAGGAAGAATGCAGTCATTAGAGGCAATAAATTACTAGTGAAATAATGGATTAGTTGATAATAGAGTTTTATTATTTCTAAGTGAAGTTTTAGTACTTGCAATACAACCAGTTTTAATCTAATATTATTTGTCTATAGATCAAAAGAAATAGATACAAAAAGAGATAGATTGATTAATAAAGTTTTTAGCAATAATATGTTTAGGATATAAAGTAGAAAGACCCAAGTTTTTACAAAAAGTAAGTCTAATTTTTTTAGTTCTCAAAAAGAAACCCAAGAGATGAAGGATGGTAATAAATTTAAGGCATTTAAATACTACTTTGTTAGAAATAAAAATGAAGTTAAAGAATTTGAAAAGTTTATTTTAAACAATAGAAAGAGAATAGTATACTATTACATAGAACCTTAAAGATGAGTATTATTATGTAATAATAAGAAAGAATATACAATATTTTCTTGACTTCAAGATATTAAAACATTGATACTATTATAAAGTTCTATTCTTTAGTTTATTTTAGATAGTATGAAACTTTTTAAAAATTATGAGTTATTGTAGGTCATTGGAGGTTACTAAATCTATTTTGTAAAAACTACTTAGAAGATTTTTAGTTAGCTTATTCCTCACAAGATGTTTTGGTTATAATAAGAAATTAAGTAATAAAAAGAGACTTGAAAGAGTATGACTTAATAAGAAAACCAGAAAAGAGACAGTGAGTTCTATTATAATGAATAAAATTTTTTAGTTTAATAATCAATATAGTAAAAGCACAGGTGATAGTTTTAGAAGAAAAAATTGTAAAAATAGAACAGATATTATATCAGTTAATAGAAAAAAAAAAGATTACAGTATAGGAGTTGGCAGCTATAGTTAAAAAGATTTAATCATTAAACAGAATATTTGACTATACTAAAGTTTGTTGTCTAAAGTTTTACTCTATAATAGATACAATGAACAAAAGTATTTGGTAATGAAATTTATATGTAGTTCTAATAGTACAAGCCAGAAAGGATTCCAAATAAATAATACAAAAATTAAGAATATAAAATAGTTGTCCTGCTTAGAAGCTCTTAAGAGTGAAACAAATTTTTATTAATACATTAACAATATGATAGTCAGCAGTTTTTGAAAAAAATTATGCTTTTGAAAATTAGGATTCAAAAAAATCATATAGAGTAATTACAAGACTAAAAACCAAGGCAGTAATTTTAGAAATAAAAGCACTTATTAGCTGTTAAAGCATTTATGAATAGACCTATATATAGACAATTAGAATGCTATCAGTACTGTGACAAAAGAAGTAAGACTACTATAACAAAAGAATCTCTTGCAAAGACTATAAAAGTTATTAAACAAATGTAATATTAAGATCAATGAGAAATTTTGAGTTTTATCTGTTATAAATCTAGTAAACAGATTAACCAGATATATAGATACTAATAATTAATGTCTAAGTCAGTCAGTTTTTGATCTGATAGAAAAAGATGATGAACTCATTTAGTAAATTATATGGCAGACCATCAAAATTTCAAAATATTTTGGTTTAACAGCAGATTTAACTACCAATATACAAAAGACATAAATTGCTTTATCCAAAGCTGATTAAAAGAAAATAATTATATATGCACTTTATTAATCTTAATTTATCATGTTCTTTAATATATAATAGAAAAAAAGTAGTAACAATAATAATAGTTCCAAGATGGTTTTCTGCAAAATGGTCAATCCTAATGCATATTTATGTAGATTACATAATTCTGCCTTCAGTTCAGAATATATTGTAAAGGACTGTTCAAAACCAGTAAATTTATAGAAAAATCTAAGCTAGCAATTTCAGGCAATAAGAATAAAATAATAATTTTGTTACTTACTAAAGCATAAGTCTTGAAAAAGAGTGCAATTTTTAAAAACTAAAATCAAAATTTGAATAAAGCATAAAAATTATATAATAATTATTACAGAGTTATGAGTTTGAAATCACTTTTATTTGAAATAAATACTCTTGTGTCTTTAGTTGTTTGACTTGATCTAACTAATTCTTTTTTAATTTGTGCTAATGTTATAACAATAGTATCTAGAGAACTTTTAGAAGCTCAGCTTTCAGATTTCTTTAAAGAATATCAGGTTAGAAAGATTTATAAAATACTGTTTAAAGAATATAAAAAGAATAGGAACTCAGAATGATCTCATGATCTCTTGCCAGTTTTAATATTAAAATATATTATTAATAGATGTCTTCAGTATTCATCTGATGAGTTTTAATTTTGAGATGTTACATTAGTAACTGTAAGCCTAAGAACTATGAGATGAGCTGAAGAGCTATGTAATCTAAAAGTTAAAGATATTAAATTTAGAGAGAAGTTATATTAGGTCTGAACTAGTTCTTCTAAAATAGATCAATTTGTGAATAGGAAATTTATTTCTATAGTGTATGCAAATAATCATTATTGTCCAGTTAGGTTGTTAAAAAAATATTTGTCAATAAGGCCAAAAATTACTAGTAATAATCTTCTTTTCCTGTCAAAACAAGGAAAACAGTTAACAGTAAGAGCAATCATTAAGAGAATTGCTAAGAATGCAGAAGTGCAAGGGAGATTTACTGCACATAGCATCAGAATAGGTGATGCTACAGTTGCAATAGAGGCAAGTTTGTCATTGATACAGATTCAAGCCATAGGAGAATGGGACATCAAGGTAGTTATGTTATATTTATGATCAGTTGGTACAACAAAATTACATATTTCTAAGAAAATAGGGTTTAATTAAATATTGATTCTCTGTTATTTCCCATATGTTTTTCTTTGTTTTATTAATAAAGTCTCTAATTGAGCAATAATAATGATAAGCTTGTCAACGAAGTGACATAGCGTTCATTATTGCAGATCAGGTGACTTTGCAAATTACATGTATTGTTTTAGTTGTAACCTTTTATGGTCATGTTCAGTGATTGTTTTCTTAAGATGATAATTAACTGTAATAAGGAGTTTATCGTTTAACGATTATGATTATGCATGTGAATAGTATGCTAGTATTATGATTGCGCATGTGAATGGCAAGTGAAAGAAGTGGTAGGTGTGTTTAGTTAGGTTAAGAGCTATTTAAGAATCGTTTTTCAGGTTAAAGTTGGTTATTCTTCTGTTCGCTATCGTTCGCCTTAGTGAAGGCTGGCTCTATCGGCCCTCCCTACCCACCCATTGTTAAGTGGCTCTGCGACTTGAAATAGTGCAATGACCACAGCAAGCTTATAACACCGCAGTTCAAATAAGCTTGGCTCCGAGGCTGCATTAGCAGTGCAGAGACCAGACTCAATTAAGTGCACACTAGTATTTTAGACTCGATCCTCTGTATATTGCTATCTAATCTGCTAGTTCCTTTCTGAGAGTATGTTTTATTAACAAATTGATTTGTGGTTGGTCCCGTTACTGTTGAACCTGAGGGATAACAGGTTTGAAACCGTTCGAAATAGGGCTCGAAGGTTTAGAGGTATAGGATTATATTCGAGACGGTAACTTTAGTACAATTGAGAGCCTTCAGGATAGCGGACCTATTCCCATATGTTTTTTCTTTGTTTTATTAATAAAGTCTCTGATCGAGCAATAATAATTAGGAAATATTAATTAAAATCCTTGCTGTTACTTTACTTTACGCCACATTATATTTTTTCTCAGTGCATAAAATTGTAATGAGTTTTTCAGAGATTTCTCTATAAAAGAAATTAGAATATAGTTGTGATTTAAGTAAGAATGTGATAAAAAATTTCCGATTATCATAATTTACTGGAATCTCCGGGTATATTACAGTAGATTTTATGGTATAGTGTAATTCGATAATCGGCGATTCGGTTGCTACTCTAATCCAATTCTCGCGTAACCTACGGCGGCTAAGTCGAAATCGGCGTGTTAGATTTGGCTGGGTGGTTTATCCGTAGGTAAGTACTATTCTTCTCTTCTAAGTCTTTCCTTCAACCTGTTTTTCTATTAACCCTTGCCTTCTCTTGTCCTCTCTTTACTTCTTTATTCTGGGTTACAATACGTCGAATCGGGTTGGAGTCCTTCTCTCACATTAACGGTTTGGTCACGTGACTTGCAGTGAACAAACAAAAATGCGGGTTTAAGGGTGTATTGGTGAATGAACGATAGGGTTAATAACGTGATTAACGACAGTTTATTAGTTTGTATAGGGTAAATACTTTCACTTTATTAGGGGGCGGGTATTTAGTGATATTAGGGGATTTATTGGTATATGGGACGATTCTCCTCTTTTTCCCAAGGCAAGAAGGCCCTTTATTTATAATAAACGTTTTGTTTACATTGGTAATTAATTTCTAACATAAATGTAATATCCCTTATATCTTAATTATATTTAATAAATCTAATAAAAGGTCGATGTCTCATTTATCACATAAGTAACGGAAATAGCATAAGTAACAGAAGTAAGAGAAGTAAGAAAAGTAACATTTCCGTTACTTTTCGCGTGACCTTGGATCGGGTAAGGATCGGGCAAAGATCGTCGCTTCGATTCGGGCACCTGTGATCCCAAAAATCGGGCTCACAATAGGAAGCTTTCAAATGATTGACTGTTTAAATCAATTTAATTTTATATTATTTATACAGTTTAAAGTACGTTTAAAAAAAATAAAACTGCGAAGAATAAACAAAAAAGAAGTATATAAAAAGTTTTTCAAAATCATTTCTGGTTTTTGAAAAGCTAGCATAATGGCTTCTTAAAGATAGATCGTATTAGGTTATTACCAGAAAAGATTTTGATTATTTTTAATAGTGGAGTCCTAAAACCCTAATAAAACTTATTATATACATCTTTTTGTTTATTATTCGCAGTTTTAATTTTTTAAAAAGTATTTTAAACTGCATAAATTCTGTAAAATTAAATTGATTCAAACAGCCAATCATACGAAAGTCTTTCTATGGGATTTTGTGCTCTGTGTTACATTCCTTATCCATCAATTTCATTTACAGCCCATATAACGTTCTGCTTATGTGTCATGGCGATGTTACATTTATTCTGTTTTTATATTAACAATAACGCGGCTATAAGTAAAGTATAAAAGAATGAATAATTAAATAAGACACAAAATGATGAAGTACGTATAAGTATAAACGGTAATAAAGAAATATACTAATATGAGTAACAAGTGGAAAGTAATAAGTAGGACAAGCCTATGAAATAAGTATGACGATGGATAGGAAATAATTATTCAAAATGAAATGTGAAATCGAAAAATATAAATTTTTGGGATGCATTTTTTAGTATTTTCTTATGGATAGAATTAGGGTTTAGAAGTAGGTTTTATTTAATCTAATTTCATGAAACAAAGGTAATCAAAATTTCAACAGAGCTACTGTCATGAATTATTGGAAGGGAATGTGTTGAACGTATGTGTCTCTCGGTCGAAGCATATTTGTTTCTATGCGCACTTTATTCCAAAATCGGGTACTCTATCTATATCACAATTTTGTTGGAGACTTAACGGTCAGTCTCATACAGCCTAACATACGCACGTACCAATAAAGCCATAAACATTACCGCATTTTGAGCACGTCGAAGTCGCATGTGATACAACAGTCAACCAGAACACAACTCTTCTTAGGCTTTAAAATTGTATTTAATAAAAGTAAAATCAAGTTACATATTACATCATGTTAAGTAAGATCTATGTTACATACGTACACTCAATATGTAAATGAACCTGCCATTTTATCGTTTTTATATTCCATGTGAACCTAAAAAAAGTCGATTTATAATGCTAAGGGCGTTAAAAATTCCCAAATATTGCTTTAAATAATTAATTATGCGTACGTATTATATCGATAGATGATAAATGACTGATCAAAAAAGGTAAAAAATTGAAAATCAATCATTATGGTTATGAAATGATATATGGACAAATATTTGATAACTTTTATATGGTGCCACTAGAGATTTTACGTTAGTTACCTGTTAAGAAAATTCTACCCGAGTATTATTAGATTATCCGTTTATCCGGGTAATTTTACCCGGGTACAATCTCTAGATACAACATATAACTTTGATTTACATAGTTGACCAACCACCCCAATGGTACACGCACCTAAATGCTTTATTTTGTATTTGTCAGTGTTTCATAATGATTTGTTGTATAAACAACCTATATTAAAAAAAATATTGCCAAGATACAGTATGTAATTGCTGAAATTATAAATATAAGCGATTGATACTTTAATCTCACAGGTTTTTTTTACAAAAGTAGCATATTTTGTGAAAGATTTCAATTATATAAAATGAAATATCCTATTCTTTTGTCTGTACTTTTAATTTTTAAGGTAAATAATTATCTAGGTTTTTTTTTAATTAGCCACATATAAATATCTTATTTTCTAAAATTCTATACTTATCAGGTACTTGAAATTAATGCAACCTCTGCTTCTGTCACAATTCCTGGTTATGCTTTTTGGTATAAATGCCTTACGACTAATCAGAATGCGACATCAGATAATATATTCAGCTACGATGTTACTTCGAATAAGTATAGTTCCATATGTATGTATTTTATAATTTTTTATTAATCCTTATTTTAAGGGCTAAATATATATATATATATATATTATTATTAATGTACTTAATTAAATATATAGCAATTACATATAGTAGCACAACCCCATCAACATATTCAAAATTCGATATAGATAAAAGTGGATTTGGTTATAAATTTTCTTTTTCTGATATTCCAATCTTAACGGGCTTACTATTACGTTATTCTGTACCCTTGGTTGATATCCCTAATTATTATTATCCTGTCGATTTGGGCGGTTTTTTTGTATATTTATTCGATAGTAATTCTAGAGATCCAACTGGTGCTGACGCTTTTTGCGGGTCTACGACTTCTTTTGTTAAAACATGTACTCATCAAAAAACTAACATAAATCCTAATTGGTGCCTTTTGATAGGAAATTTCTATGTAAACCAATCTGTTAATTTTGATATTTCATATCAAACATATGATACAATCAGTTCTTCCACTGGAATATCAAATACTATTGAAACCAATATTATTATAACAAGTGTTTGGGGTGGTCTTGTTTGGTTATTAATCATGTTTTGTGTGTGATAAGTATCTTATTATGAGCATTGATTGATAACGATAATAATATTTGATTTAAATTTATTTGATTTGTGTAATTTATAAAATGTAATATCTTTTCACTTCAATGCAGAATAAATTGTTGACATTTTTATATTTATTGTAATTAATAGTTTTTTTACTAATCCTAAAACTTAAAAAAATCACTAGCGACAGCTAATTTACCTGATTAAAGTTAGAAATTAGGTAATACACGTGATAGGACGTTAATGCATACTGAATCTCGGCCCTATTGATTAATCGAGTTTTATTAAAAGAAATTGCTTAAATTGTTTAAAAAGGTTAAAAATGAGCGTGCTGTATAGTATTGTACTGGTATGTTAAGCATCGGTTTTAGTGTAGTTTTAGGGTTCAATCTCGATGTGATTGGCTCATAATTGTAATCAAGCACAATTATAATTATATTTAAATTTTTGTGTTATCTGCAAACTCTTATTATTAAAGATTTATTACTTCTGGTTATTTTTTGGTAAGTTATGTCGTAATCATGTTTATTCGAATTAAAACTCAGTTAGCCAATCACGACTTGAAATCATGATCATGAATTACCAGATAACGCAAATATTGCATGCATTGATACATGATCAATTTTATATACATAACGAATCGAATATGCGAAATAAGCAAATTAAAGTTTGCTCAGATGTTATTACCTATGTTATTAGCTAATAAACGTGGCAATACAATTGATACTTAATTGTATTTTTTTTAAAAAAAAACTAGATCATAGTTTTATTTATTAAAATTTATATATCAGTACATTACTGGGGTTAGTTTATTCTTAATCCAATTTTGCCATGAGGATCAAAAGTCTTGCTTAGTTCATAATTGTTGTTATAGAATTAGGAGATGCATTGTATTTTTGAAGTTTTTTGTCAAATATCAATACTTTTTATTTATTTGTAAGTTTTTGTAATTTATCAGGATATGTGTATATGGGCTTGTATTGCTTAAATTTACATTAGAATTTATTCTGTTGATATCTGGTAAGTTAGCAGATTCTTGGTTAGGAATGTTTTGATTTTGAGATATTGTTGACATTAAGTAATTTATAGTTGTTTATGTATTGTTTTCTGATTTTATGTAATATTATTTCTGTAACTGCATGATTTTTTTATTTGTTTATTATTTTGGTTAAAAATTTATTTTGTACAATATAATGATGTTTTGATAATTGTGTTTTTTGTGTTTGTTTGTTGTAATTAAGGGTATCAGTAAGGTATTAAGGATTTCTTAGTTTTGAGATATATTTAATTAATATTTTATAAAAGTTTTTGTAATCATATCAATGATAATAAATCTAATTTTAATGGTATTGGAATGATATTATATTTAGTAATGATTTATTTTAAAATAAACTATTTATTTTTAACAAATTAAATCAAAATGTTTCTTGAAGTTGTAATTATAAATAGATAGTTTATTTAAGAAGAATTTAAATTTAAATTGTTTTAAATTAGAATTAAAAAGATAGCTGATTTTTGTAGTAAGTTTATCATTAAAATTTATAAACATGTGAAAAGTTTCTTAATGAATTTTGCTTATTTAAAATTTTATGCATTTATTTGACTTTGAAAATACTATATAGCAATGTATTAAATATTATTAGTATGTTAAATAAGTCTATTAGATATATGCTTATTGTATATATTTTTTTTAGTTAATTTATAAATATATTTTATCTAATTAAAATATATATTATTTCAAGATAATATATGATAAAATTAGATATAATAATAATGTTAACTATTTTAGTATAATAATATTTGTTAAGATCTTTGTTTTATAATTGCTTTAAGTATTAACCAACTAGGTTAAAAAGATGTTTTATAAATTTGAACATTATGCTATAACAGAATTCTCATAATTAGTTGTGGATTCTGAATAAATTATTTTTTATCAGTATGAATAATTATATTTTTGTTTTATAAATATATAATGTAATACATATTAGAACTATATATAGCACTTTGTTAGTACTATGAGCTATGTAATTAGGGAGTAGTATATGCAAACTATGAACAAGAAAAAGTTATATGCTTGGTTTCTTAATATCAACATCTAGAGCTAATGTATGTAAAAATTCATATATAATAGTAAGTTTTATTCTGTTAAATGTTTATTGAATAAATATTTTAATTAATTTACTTATTTAAAATTTTATTTTTTTTAAGTATGAACATAAAGTTAATGTTTCTAAATCTAATCTAGAGTATTATAAAGTTTTTGAACAAGTACAATTTTATTTTTAATATGGTTTTCCTATCGAAAATTCAATTGCTTGTATATATTTGCAATGTAGGAAAAGGATATATAATCGATACAATTTTGGAGAATTTGATAACTATGAGTTTGTGAATGTATCAACGATACGAGGATGTGTAAGTTGTTTAGAGTTAGGAAAATATTCATTATGTACTTACCTTAAATACTTACAATACAATTATAACAACTCGAGTATATTATTAATATATACTATTCATAATGATAAGAATTTATTCTATTAACCTGATGACTTATAATTCTATATTTAAATTCACGAAACTAAAAATAATTTGAATGTATGCGACACTTTTAAGATATGCAATAAATACATAGTATTCTATGTGCTTCACTATTATTTTTAACCGTGATATTCCGTAAAACGTACCCATGCGTGCCACATAACCCGTGCCATACCCCGAAACACTTTTTATATGGTAAAAATTTTATGTAAAGCGATCACTTGTTAATCATATCGGGAATGACGCTTGAGAGCACCCTAAACCTCATAGGGAGATTTTCGTATGATTGCTGTTTAAATCAATTTAATTTTAAATTATTTATAAAGTTTAAAGTAATTTTAAAAAGAATAAAACTACGAAGAATAAACATATAGAAAGTTTTATTAGAGTTGTAGGGCTCCATTATTAAAAATAATCAAAATCATTTTTTGTTTTAGTGAAGTTAGAACGGTAACAACCGAATTCTATCTATCTTTAAGAAGTCGCTATTATGCTAACTTCTCAAAAACCAGAAATAAATTTGATTATTTTTAATGGTTGAGTCCTACAACTTTAATAAAATTTTTTATATCCCTCTTTTGGTATATTCTTCATAGGTTTATTTTTTTTTAAAAAAGTACTTTAAACTGTATAAATAATGTAAAATTAAATTGATTTAAACAGCCAATCATACGAAAGTCTTCCTATGACCCTAAACCAAACAAGCGAGTTATAATTTCAATAATTAAAATTGGAGGGTGGACTATTTATTTCATGGAGTTGCTGATTGGCTGAAATTTAGAACAATGACTTTTAACATTAACCACTCAATTAATCGTAATAATTTGAGTAAAATGCTCATCACTAGCTAATCACATTGAGGGGGCTGATTGAGAAATCCTTAATCAATAAATGCAGATAATGTTTAAAGCATCTAAAAGCATGGCTTACGTAATGCAAGATACACTAGTGATCTATTAAATTGTCAAATGATAATCATAAAAATATTAATTTCAATAAAATTTCTTTATTATGAAGCAATACCCAAACCAAATAAATAAATAAAAGCCTGAGCATATCGAACAGAAACTTATTGAATAACCAAATGTATATAGGGTAAAGTAAAAGAAAATTTAGAAGAAATAGGGTCAGATAATATTATGTTTATAACTATTAAGCGCCAGTTACAGGATAAGAAATTATAAGTCTAGATAAAGGTAAAAAGTCTAAATAAAGTAATTAGTCTAGTCAAAGATTAGTAATAAAAATTTCGACCATTTATGCAAATGAAAATATGTCACTAGTTACTTCAATATTGAAAATTGGCTTGCCATGATCTTTTACTCTGCTAACGACGTCGTCTGAGGGGCAGGTGCGCAACAATTACATGTATTATGAACACTACAATTAGTAGTATTAACACATGCTGCATTTTGGATTGAATTGCACAAGGTTTCAAATGTACAAAAGAGGCAAAGATAGCAGGTACTGTTAATGCAGTTGCCTGTAGCAGGCATAGGATAATCAGGATAAGTCAAATTATATAGTACACCGTCGGAACACTGTGAATCATTACTGCAACCGGGATTGACACATGTTCCGTCCTGACAAGTTTCTCCAGCAGCACACTGCAAATGATTAAGTTAAAATATGAAAAAAAATTTTGTATGAAAAAAAAATTTATAATGACTAATACACACAGCTTTGCCACAAGATCCGCAATTCTTTGAATCGGAATTGGTATCAATGCAATTCTTATTACAACAGGTCTGTCCATCAGCACACTATAAATGTAATAATTAAAGAAAGTTAGAAAAAAAAGCCAAGAGGAGAAAAAAATATATAAATACGTACACAATTATTGCAACATTTTTTACTTTTATCACAGCATTGTCCATTGACGCACTCTTGACCATCCTCGCACTGTAAATATAAAATCATTCGAGGTTAATCAATATTATAAAAAAAGATAGAAAGGAAAATTAGAAATACATACACAAGATGTACCACACACAAGTTTAGAGGGGCAACATGTTCCACCTAGGCATTTATATTTTTCATCAGGACACTGCAAATAAAATCATTCAAGATTAGTTAATATTCTAAAAAGATACAGTACCAGACCGAAAGAAGCATCCAATTTATATATATAAAATATAAAAAGTGGTTTAACTTTTAAAATTATAGACTAAGTAAAAATCTATTTTAATAAAAATTATAGTTTGAATAAAAAAAACAAATCTGTAAGAGGGATTTTTCTAGTTTGTTTTTGAGTAATAGTACTTTAAATTTTATATAAATTTAAAAATTTAGCGTTTAATATAAAAAAAAAATATCTATATTAGGTATGACTTTATATCAGCTTCCGAATTTAGTAACCATGAGAAATTTCTGAACTCGAAGCAAGATTTAACCGAGTACAGCTAAGTATAGCAGCATATATAATGATGCAAACATGTTGGCGCAACCAGTGTTTAACTGCACTGCGAATATTCTATTTGCGGCCCTGCCCCACCCTCCTACAGCAAAGAAAAAAAAAAAAAAAAAAAAAAGAGAAAAGAAGAGAGCATGAGCAACGCTGCAAACATATTTAGCAGGAAGAGCTCGAATCCTGCCATTTTCGTAGCAACTGCTTACGTTCTTTTATCAGCCGGCCTGCTTGACGCAGGCGGGAAACCACTAGCCAAAGCTACGCCACACTGCTTCTGCTGCCTATGGGATACCCGGCGCAATCTAGATTGCTATTCCGGGTACATATCACATTTCAATTATACTGCACATCAATAGCAACTGGTGTATGCTCTTTTAAAACATGAATTTAAGACTTGAAGTTATTGAATATGTGTTCTTTAAATAAATTCAATTCAGGTACATGTGGCCGGATTCATTCCAATGTATCACGTGTGTGCAGTACTTTTCGTGCGCATGATTTTTATATTTTTTGTATCCAAATAACAATCTAATTCCGATTATTAATTGGGACAGCCCAAATAAAAATTTGTCAGATCTAATTTAAGCTAAATTAATATACTTTACAGCTGTTATCATTATCCGTGGAACACCTAGTTAAAAATTAGCTGTGTGATTATTTTACTAATTCGATAAGTTTTTGATTTCGGCAATGATTAGTAATTTCAACATGATTAGTGATTTCGGCATGATTAGTATATAACAATAAAGATTTCTAGTTGTAACATTGTTTTATTGATAGTTCATCGTTACAATGTCAACATATTCAACATTATTAAATTTTCGTTTGAACGCTTGTCCAACATGCTTGGTGTGTTTAGTTTGTATGAAAATTTATAGAAAAGACTGTTCTTGTCAATCAATAGATTTTAACAAGAAATATAAAAAAGGCTCCAGATATAAGTTGGACTTTCATAATAAATATATTACACAAATAGGTGCTAATATTAAAAGGTTGGATATGATTAAGAATTCGTCAACTGGTTCAATAATAAATCTCAAGTTAAAATTTCAAAAAATCAAGACTTTATTAATATTTGTCAAAAATGTATTAATGATTATGATAAGCGAAATCAAAGTAAAAATTTTATGTTTATATATCTGATATATTATTGTTTATATAATAATATTATTAATAATTAATATTTAGGTCAATATGAAGATCAAAATAAATTAAATGAAAATGTTGAAACTATAGATTTAACAATTCAAAATTCTTTAGATTGTTTATCTACAACAAATATTTTAGATTAATCTGACTTACCTGAAATAGTAATAATTTTATTAGAAACTATTAATGTGAAAGAGTCAAATTCTAAAAGTTCTACTACTACTACTACCACAATGATAGATCTAGAAATCATTGATATTAAAGAACCTGAATCAGATATTAGTGATAAAGAACTATTACAAGTAAGATATAATATATAATATATTATATTTTAAAATAAATTACTACTAACATTAATATTTAATTTTAGTATTTATAACATTAGTATGTTATAACTGATTTGAAAGACCTCACAAAAAATTAGTTGAAGCATTGGTAATTCCATATAATCTTAATAATTTAAAGTGTTTTGAAAATATTGAAGAAGAAATTTTATTATGTAAACTTCTTAAACATTAGAAAAAATTAAATTAAGTCATATTTATTATCAAATTTCAAATAAATCCCAAGCAGATCATTATGATTTAAAAGTTAATGGAGCTATCAATATATTTATATCAAAAGTAAAGCATAAAAGAAATATTCAACTATATGTTTATCAAGAAAGAAATGAATTTTATAGAGTTAATAAAAATTTTATGTAAGTTATTTATGTTATATTTATTAAAATATATTATAATTATTTTATTTATTTATTTATTTATATAAATATTTAAAACTAAATCAAATACAATTAATGAATTAAATATTATTAAAAAAAGAATTTATAAGAAACTTTTATCTTGTGATACACATATTCAAGGATATATAATTTCTAAAGATAGCTGATATTTAAAATTAGATAGTGATATAGTAACTTTATAGGCTCAATCAATTGTAATAATTTTTAATAATTATCTTATTACTATTATTTTATTAATATATATATAATTTATAAATATTAATATTTAAAAATTTTTAAATAAAATTTTCAAAAATACTAAACATTAATGAAAAAACTCCTTCAAATATTCCATCTTTTGATAAAATTAATTATTGCTATCTAAAATCCAAATGACTTTTAAATAATAATACTACTATATTAAATGAAGATATAAAATTATTTAAGTATATTTATTTTTATTAAATATTTATTTTTATATTATAACTAATTTTATAGGTAATTTAGTTTTGAATTATATTACTATACTTAATACAAATTCAATTTTAACACTAATGTTTCATTCTGTAACTATTCATACTAAAAAAGAATCACCATTTAAAACTAATATTCATGTTACTCATGATATGACTTTTCAAAGACTACTTGATTACATATTTTCTAAAAGTCCACCAAATGAAAAATAATTTATTATTAAATTATTATTGGATATTAATAGTAAAAACTATTTATCAAAACAAATTATGAGCAAATTATTTAAATATAAACATATTGATATTTGGTAGAAATAGAAGATATTGATATTAAATTCAATAATTTGTTTGATTAGTTTAGCTTTATAAATATATATATTAACTTATAAAATAATTTATAATTATATATTATTTAGCAATTATTGTATATATTATTTAGTGATTATTGTATATATCTTGAATATTAATAAGATACACATACTAATTTTTACCTATTGTCATATAAACAAGATCCAATACTTCTAAAGAAACTTGTATTAACTCTGCCCAAATTTTATGTTGTTGCAAATAATTTTTTATATAAGAAAAAATTTGCTCAATCTAAATAAAAAAATTAATTTATTGTATTATTAATATAAATTTATTATCATTATACTATAATTACTATTATTATTTATACTTACTATATAATATATTCAGGATTAAAATCTGGTAAATAAGCAGGTAAAAATTCAAGTTTTACTTTTTCATTTCCACAAATATTTTGTAAATATTGACTTTTATATATTAATATATTATCTAAAACTAATACACTAGATTGTTTAAAAAATATATTCATTTTAGGTAACTATAAATATTATATTAATTAGCTTATTATTATTATATTCTAATTTATTATTTAATAAAAAATTCTTACCAAGATATGTTCAATAAAATTTTCATAATTATTAGCATTTATAGAACCTTCTTGAATGCTATATGCTAAAAGACCATTAATGCATAGTGCACCTTCTATAGTAAATCATTTTTAATATATAAAATAAGTATATTCTTAAGCTGTAATCCTGAAAAATTCTAACCATATTAACATAATAATGTTCTTCTGTTATAAGCTGTTTTATCAGAAAACACTAGCTAATTTAGTATATATTGAAATATTTGTAAAATACAATTAACTCTATCTGTTTGATTTCTTTCTTTAACAAGTTTTAAAATCTATATATAAGAGTAATTTAATAAATTTTTAAAATAAAATAAAATACAAATATAATATTACTTGTTTATGTATATATTCAAGCCAATGCAATATTCTCCAAATTATTATGGGGTTCATTCATCATTTTGTTTTTGTGATGAATTTTTTCAACTAATCAATTCTTTGCATCTCAGAAGAATTAAGTTCTATAAGTACAGAACCAATAAAAAAAAGGAATTAAATATAATTATAAAAGTGTAAGACTAATTTTATATCCTAATCAAAGTTCTATTTCTGATTGTAACTCATATAAATACCAATTAGGTTTTTTTTTCATTAAAGTTTTAAGATATTTTATATTATTTAAGTTTAGTAAATGTGATTTTTCTTTAAAAAATAGAAGCTTTTCAACATATTTATATTTTTGGAATCACTTGATAATTCACTTACAGAAGATTTGCTAACACCTAAATGTTTTGCAATTATTCAAACTAATAAGCCTTCTAAGTTTTTTTTAATTATCAGCCAACAAATATGATTTGAAAGTAACATATTTAATAAAGATTATATCAATAATATAATATTTATAGTTGTTATTTGAGCTTTAATTATTTATCAATTAATTCAATTTACAAGACTGTTAATACTGTACTTTTATATATCATATTTTTAATAATAATAATCATTATGCTAATTATGCCAAAATCACTAATTATTACCGAAATCAAAAACTTATCGAATCAGTAAAATTACATGGCTAATTTTTAACTAGGTGTCCCACAGATAATAATAATAGCTGTAATAGATTCTGAAATATTCTAAAAGCATAAGAAATTCTGAAAAATTCCTATATGTATAAAATTTGAAAAAATTGAATTTGCATATCACTAGTAACACCATCGAACTGGAATTGGTGTTTCAGTCACTTCTCAAAAGAATATGTTATA